TCCTCAGGAAGTTCACCTCCACCAATCTGAACAATATTAAGATAAGATAAATGATGGAAAATGGTGAAACTTAAAAGTTATTTATGAAATGAGTTTCACATTTGTGAGAAAGAGAACGTTCGTACACGTACACTGCCAATCGTAAATTAAGCCAGAAAAAAGTATGGAATAGATTGACGTATATGTTATGTACCCAACACAAAAAATACAAAATACTAATATATAGCAATATGAAAAAGAAACTACAATATAACAATAGCCTTTCGAGANTCCTACACTTTTAAGATCTCTAAAATCTGCATTTCGGTCCTTGACCTTTCAAGTTCATTTTTTCAAAAGGTTAAGAGAGAGAAAATGTATAGGATTAACCATTGCAAATTACATTATATGCCACGTAGCTTTCCGAACCACGACTACAGAAAAGTGTTGTCTCCTCAGGAAGTTCACCTCCACCAATCTGAACAATATTAAGATAAGATAAATGATGGAAAATGGTGAAACTTAAAAGTTATTTATGAAATGAGTTTCACATTTGTGAGAAAGAGAACGTTCGTACACGTACACTGCCAATCGTAAATTAAGCCAGAAAAAAGTATGGAATAGATTGACGTATATGTTATGTACCCAACACAAAAAATACAAAATACTAATATATAGCAATATGAAAAAGAAACTACAATATAACAATAGCCTTTCGAGAGGGCAATCTCTCTCCCAAGCCCCACAATGGACAATCCGAAAATGATCTCTCCCTCCTAAGAACACTAACCCCCTCTATTAGGGATGCAAGGAAAAACCGAAAAACCCCCCAAAAAAACCGATTAAACCAACCAAAAACTGCCGCTGGTTTCGGTTCAGACCAGCTCGGTTCAATAGTTCAACTTCTCATGTATAAAAGATTGGTAATATTCAGTCAGCTTCAGGTTTGGCATGACCAGATCATTCATACCCAAGCCAACTGATAATGTATACATAAACTAAAAATTGAAACTTCAACAAATAGCAGAAGAGGACAATTAGGCTCGATGCTACTAGTCTTCCCAAGAGCGAGAGTTGTCTGAGCCTTTGAAATGCCAAAATTTTAAGGCTTAAACATTACAAAGCCACGTCGCACCAGAATGAACCAACTAAACTGTTGACTAATCGGTTTAGGTTGGTTTGGTTATGCACCATCTAGTAGTTCGACTCGGTGGCCTCACTACTACTCTACTAATATTTCCTACATGACTCATATTGGCACTTTCATAGTACAAAATGTGCTAAAGTAAGTTAAAAGCTCTATAGTCCAAAACTTGAGCACAACTGGATGAGGAAGCCACCGTTTTACGTTTCACCAATATTTAACTGCTTCTCAAAACAAGTACTTAATCTGAATTTCAATTGCTGGGCCAAAACCTACAAAGGTTTACTTTAATAATGCAGAACAGAACCCAAATAGGTAACTAGATTCTCCATAGTAACCTTCTTTTAAGACTTTGTGAGAGTACTAATAGCATTTACGTACGTTGTAGTTTCCTTTTGATAGGGCAATATATTATTATCAGACTCTGGTATTTCGATGATAGGGTTGAGGTTGTTCATTCTTATAATTTCTTAGCTTCTCTACAAAGAGAAGAAAGAAAGTCTGCAAACATTTTTTAAAGGCAGAATAACAGAACCCAAGTTCTAGCTTTATATAGCAATTTTATTAAAGACACTGATCAAAATGTTTAGTTATTAACAATTATTCGCACATAAAACATAAGAAGGCACTTTTTTTTGTCTTAAAGGGTACCCAAACTATTCACACAACCACACATGATATCAGAAGAGATTCCTCGCAATTGGATGGTATTTAAATCCTATACGAAGAATACATTTTAACTCCCAAGCTGCCAAAAGAAAGCGGGGAAAAAGAGCATACCAGGCAAAGTGGCTTTGTAATTTGAATGTTAGAGGCAGAATGAACTCCACCTGTTGCAATTAGTATGGTGTCCCCAGGCCTATGAAGAACAAAATCATTCAAGCTCTATTAACAAGTAACTCTTATTATTTCCTCATAAAAAAATAAAAAAGAAACATGAACATGCAACAACTTACCTAGCAGCAGCAACAGCTGCCTCAACGGTTGGGAAAACTCCAGACTCGGACAAATCTTTAATAGATCGTTCTACTCGCAGCCACAGCCTCGGATGACATGCCAAGTAACGCCATCTGTGGCAAACGAGGGCGGTGTTATACCGATCTGCAAACTCAATGGCAAAAGTGACAAAAAAAGCAGAAACTCCATGGAAATATGCAGGCGGCATCCACTAACTAACAATTTCACAAGGCTAATGATAAAAATTTGCCACTGGAATAGAAGCAAAAGAAATGCACAAAGTACAAAGAACTGGCGTTCTTAGAGCAAAATTAGTACCATATTGAGTTAAACGTCATCAAGATCTTCACTATTGCCTCCAGAATTTTTCTTATCTCTTTCCAACTAGTTAGCCCAACCAATTCATACCCAAAGTCCAGGAAAGAACTTCTAACTTTACAAGAAATTCTTTTAAACCTCACATATCGAGAACTGTTAAGGCTCAGGAAGTTCACTTGAACCACACGTAATGAATATTGACAAGTCTCAATCAAAAACTCCGATAGACTCAACATAAAAAAGATTTGCATTCCATCTCTTCAAACGAGTTTTTTGGATTTAGATATGCAATGAAATAACAAATTCCAACTTAAGTCAAATTCGAAATCAGAATTATATTTCTTCTCCCAATCCATTTCCAGAAATACCTAAATTGCAAATTTTCACTCTCTTCCTCCCAAAAACCCTCTTAATTTGTGGCACACCAGAAGAATCCTTCAATTTCATCCAAACGAAGCAATTTTAAGAGGAAACAAAAAGAAATCCTCAAATAGATCAAACAAATTTTACGAAAAAACATTGGATAACAAATTGAAACACAGTGCGGCAGGCAGCCAACAGAGAGAGAGAGAGACAAAAGGTACCTGGTATGGGGGAAAGGAAGCTGAAAATATGCATCAAACAGCCATCGTCCAAATTATTGATTCGAGCCGACGAGGATGAAGTGCCTTTTCTTTTCCACTTCCTCTGCTTGTTATCTTCCATCGTCGGAGTCTCAGCCATCGAAATCACGGCCTTCAGCTTGGCTCTTCTTTACCACTTAGCTCATATAGGCCTTCGAGTTTTGACTGCCATAGCCCACACAAAGCTCGGGACTCGCTCAACAAATGACGACATCAAAGCTTACCTTCTGTCATTTGCTTCGGCATTTCGGTAGTAGCTTTCTTCTGGGCCTTCAATTTATAAATGGCAAGCCCATCTCAGGAGTTCGTGAAGGCCCAAGTTTCGGCCCATGGATTGATCCATTTCCAGATATGTGACTTAGCTTTCTTCTGGGCTTTCAATTTCTAAATGGCTAACCCATCTCTGGAGTTTGTGAAGGCCCAAAATTGTGGCCCATGGCTGGATCTATTTCCAGATATGGGAATTTCATACAAGTAAAAATACCTAAAAGAAAGAAAGTTGTGTAAAAAGTTAATGGTAGTACATTTATTTGTTTGTTGAGAAGACCATTTACTATTTTTCGAAGCTCGATCTCTCCTCGTGATGAACCAAAAAGTCAATAGATAAGAAACAAGAGAAAGTCAATAGATAAGAAACAAGAGAAAATCTTTAGGCCGTACATCTTTCTTGGTATATCCAAATACTAGGGTGGAGCATAATCTTAAACGTTCTTGAGTTGAAGGTGGGTAGAATTTTTTTTCGTTAACTAAACAGATAAGAAACGAGAGAAAATCACTTCATCTTCGCCTCGAGTGTCTTTTCTATGTATATAATAGAATTGTATCAAGTGTCTGTTCTATATATAATAGAATTATATAGAATTTTCTACTTTTTGAGGCATATCAAAATTTTACTTTAGTTGGGGAAACTCCAATGATATGGAGTGATGAATAACAGGATCTAATGTTATGTTTCAATCATCCAAGACCGACTAAAATAAGGCATTCAAATGCTTATAACACTACAGACAGCATCACATGTGCTATCACAACTCAGTTACTGCTGGTGCATGTTAAGATACAAACAAGTTGGACTCCAAATCATTGTTCCGACTTCATTATGTACGTTTCGAGATTTCAATACTTCAAGATCCACGAGTTGGTTGATGTTTTGAAGCCCCTGTATGTAGTAGGCAGGTGAAGGAAATGAAGACACTTGCAATAGTCCATATAGTCATCCATGAGAAGCTAGCAACTGAGCATGGAAAAGAAAGGAATGAAGTAAATTACCCGTATGATATTTTCATAACAACATGCACATCTCCTCAGTGGGAGGCTACATACTCCAAAACAGCATCATCTACCAGTCCAGTATTCGACGTGTTATCCGAATAACTTTTAGACCCATCCAGAGAAATATGACGCTTGCCCGACACGCTGTCAGGTATGAATTCCATTGGCATGCTCTTCAAACCTGCCTTCTGCTGCTCATAAGAAAGCTTGGTGGAAATAGGAGATTCGGGTGCATCAGGATAGTTTTGCAACAACTCAAATTGTCTATGAAACAGCAGATGAGCCACAGTTCTATCAACGGGGTTCGTCTCTGTTTCAGCGTCCCGCACCCCAGACATTCTAGAAAATGATAAAAGAAAAAGATAATGAAAAGGACATCACAGAACTTAAGAGGGAACTCACTGAAAATCAACTACTTCTAAGAAATCTAAAATTATTTTGTTGTCACCGTGGTTGCATCCTAAGAATGGACTTGGTTACTCAACTCATGCCACCCAGCAAAAGAAAAGGGGAGAATCTTTGAACAACCTTACGCGAGAGAATGAGAACTTAAGTGTGTTGACTAACCCACAATGACTATCGATTTCTCCTTTTGCACTGATGGCATGCTCATCTCTGGTACATTTGTTGGAGCTGCTTGTATCATTAGCATAATGTCTTTGCATTGCACTTTGAGCCAATCGAAACAAGCTGTCCCGGATACGAAGTCTGATTTTGAAATCCAGCTGTAGTAAAACATTTCTAGAGGATTGTAACAAAAGTCAGGTTACAATAGAAGGAAAGTAATCCACAAACAAGTCAGGTGTACCTTTGAAATAATCTCTTGAAGCCTACAAAGAATTGTTTCTTCCATAGAACAACGATCAACTGCAGAGGAGATTGTATAGGAATTGTCCTGCTCTAAAGGCGACTTTGGATCTAGTGCAGGAAGAGTGTATATTTCTTCGGAATCGAGATCAGTCTTTTCAATGTGCTGAGACTGAATTTCTTGGGGACTGTTTGGAGAAATGGATTGACTAGCAATAGAGGCTTGATTCTTGAACTGTTGCTGTTGTTTTTTAATGGCAAGCATTGCCTGCATTTGCTGCCTTCTCCTCAGTTTTTCGATTTTTTCTTGAGGGGTCATGGTAAGAGACTTCACAAAGCTGTCAGCTGGTTTGTCTACACGACTCACACCACCTGGGGAAATACCATGACTGATACGCATTTGGGACAGCAAAGGCATGCCGGGATACGCATTTGCAGCAATTGCGTAAAATGGTTGGTGCACCAAGGGATTTGAAGCTTGCTGGTATTGCAATGGTTCAAGTCCTTGAAGCTGAGTATGTTTAGTGATAACTGAAGGTGAAGGTGTTCCCAGTTGTAGAGCTAAATTGTTATCAAAGTGACTTGCTAGGCTCGTTGATGAAGGCCAGTTATTACCACGAATATCTTGAAACATCTTCTCCTCACTTTTCCCTTCAGTTCTTTTACGAGATTTCAACAGTCTTTTCTGCATACCACCAATCTGAAGCATGGAAAAGTAATAAATATTAGAGAACGGACATAAAGGTTGGTAAATAGAAAAAGGAAGACGAAGACACATAATATACAGACAACAAGAAATAAGTGTCTGTTGCTCCTTTCAAATTTACTAGTATCCAGGCTAACCTCACCTGTCAGTTCTAACTAATGGCCATTGCTACAATGTTAGTATTGTCGAATAAATCAGAAATTAATCCTCTAATACTTGTAGTTACAGTAACCTTCCTGTCAAAGGTAGTTTGTAACCGCCCAAGCCCACCGCTAGCAGATATTGTCCTCTTTGGACTTTCCCTTTCGGGGTTCTCCTTAAAGTTTTTAAAACACGTCTGCTAGGGAGAGGTTTCCACACCCTTATAAAGAATGTTTCGTTCTCCTTCCCAACCGATGTGGGATCTCACAATCTACCCCATTTGAAGCCCAGCGTCTTCACTGGCACTCGTTCCCTTCTCCAATCGATATGGGAAAGAGTTGCAGAAAAATTGAACGTGAGAGTGGGATCATGAGGTACCACCTTCCAGAACAGTTCAAGAAAAACATCCTTAACCAGTGGAAGTACATTCAAATGCATTGATACATCGGAACTGGCAACCCAGTGACTGATAACTCAAATATCAACAAAGATACATTCAAGAAGTGACTTTTTACAACCAGGTTATCCTATGAAAATTAAACTACTTGAAAATGGAAAGCATGCTTTCTGCAAATGATGAGCATTATGCTAGATAAATTACCATTGAAGTATTTAAAACATAATCACTTCTTGATAAATGTGATTTTCATCAGCAGGTAAAAAAAGCTTAAATATAGACAACAAAATAAAGGCTACGCTAATTAACTAGTTACTTCAATAAACAAATGTGAAAAGAACCTTATTTGAAAACTCATTGGCAGTCAAGATATTGCCAGCTCTTTGATGAAGGGTGGCTGCAGCTGGCTTTTCCACATTCTCCAAATCTGTCTGAATAAGCCAAAAAATTACATAGAATTTTCAGTTTGCTCAAAAAATAGAAACAGAAGATGCACTCTATTAATCACTACTTCAACATGCATCATACCCCATCATTTGCGATTGCTCCAGTGGCATCTTCTTCCACATTAGTTAAGATTGCACTTCTAGTCTGCAACCCAAGCAATCTAGCATCAAAGTTTTGCTCATTGCCAAGAATAGATAATTGCTCATTTAGTCTCGAATACTCTGGATTCTTGCCTTTACCAGAGTCCACTCCTGACTCCAAATTCCGTGACTCCTTGGTTGGGAATAGTTTTGTTGTGCTGTTGGACACATCTTTCAAAGAAGAAGACCATAGCTCATCAGGATCACTGAGACTTACTTGGCCAAATATTGAGTCATCGTTGCTACAAAATTGCCACTTGTGAGGATATGCAGTGCAATGGATATCATTGGTTAGAGAAAAAAAGAACTAAAATAGGTAAAAGAAAAAACATTTCAAAGAATAAAATAGCCTTTTTACAGGACCAAGAAAAAAAAATGAAAAAAGAAAAAAGAAAGGAACTAGTTATTAACTCGTACACATGCACTGGTACCCCGTACTTCGGTTATAAGATAATATAAATCATTATTGGATTTTTGCAGACTAAAAGATAAGGGCAAGAGAATACGAACAAGATTAAGGCATACTACAATCCCAAAACTTCAGTTACATTGCACTTTAGTAATAATATGTACGTGTGTATATAAGTGGAAAAAAACTACACTAAAATGATTATTGTTTCTCTGAGGGAGTGAATCAATCAATTGGACATGAAGAATACGTTTAAACAACACAAGGGAGGAGATCTATGAGAATCTGTTTCGCTTCATCTAGAAAACATGACAACAACGGTCTCTTCCAAAAGGATATAAAACAATGTCCGGTCACAACATGCTTTCCTCTTCATCATGCTTATCATTTGACTTCAGTCAAGAGAAGAGTTTCTGATTGTTGTTGTTGTTGTTCTTTTTTTAAATTTAATAATCTTCAATCAAGGAGTTTAGAGAATAATTACATGTGTACCTGAAAATTCTATCTAGATCATCAAAACTTCCAATATTAGCCCATCCATAGTCAACAAAATCACCCTGTTCTTTACCTTCTTCACCTTCTTCAGTACTTTGAAAAATTTGTGCACCTTTGGTTGTTACAGCTATCAACATACAAGCCATTAAAAGAATTAGTACACAGTCGACCCTTTATACTGTTGCTCGTCAATGTAACAGCACATAATCATCTAGAATTTACTGAAAATCAAAAACATAATTTTACCATGTCTTGATGAATTATATTTGCTAATTTCAGTTAATTCACGAGATTCTTCAGTACCATTGGCGTCTTGGTCAATTTGACAAGTTTTGGACAAGGATAAGTCAACCAATGGATCATTGCTGAGGTTTGAGGCAGAGGTTCCTTCTTCGTTGACAGGAAGGCTTTCCAGCTTTCTTCCATGGGCATCATCAGCATTAGTCCCAGGTGACTTGTGCTCCACAAGCTTCGTGTATGCTGTGTCTTGATTCCATTCTTTCTTGTCATAATAATTCTCACTAGCCTCCGGATAAGGCACAATATGATCATCACTATCAGCAGTCTCATCCCATATTATGTTCGCAAGCTGAAATTTCCACAGAAATTTAAGATCATAATTTAGGAGAGGAAAATTTTAGTAGTTCCCTAATTATCAATTGTAATCAACAATGATTTTAGCAGCACTTCTAATCAAAAACAAGGAAAGAAAACGATGCAATACATCATAGAATCACTTAAATGTTCAACCACATAACCAGTTAGATATAATACAATGAACTTTATTCTGCTACCAATCCTAAAATGCTTCATTTAGATCCTCCCAAAATGCTTTCCCCAGTCCACGAGTTACTAATTGGCATCCCTAAATATCAGATTCATTTCTCAACCTTGCAATAAAATTAAAGTATTCCATGGTAGTACTAAAAACCAAACAAGCTAATCAATACCTAGAAACACTGTCCACTCACAAAAAATCACATTAAAGAAGTAAAACGGAAGGAGGAGGAGTTACCTCTTCGTCGTTCCAATCAAACATAGCTGAAAAACCTTGACAGAATCTCTAATCCAGAATTCAAATCCAACAACTGATCGAAGATTGATCCGCACATCGCCGAATTTAGCGGAAAAGAAAGTTAAGGAAAGAAAATCTCGAAATCTGCAACAGAAAGCATCAAACTCCGGAAACAGAACGCCGATCTAAAGCTGGGAAACGTCCAACAAAAACAAGACGAACAAGAAAAGACACAGAATCAGAAGCGAAAAATTCACCAAAAAAAAAAAACCAAATGAACAGAGGTTTAGAAAGATTTGGGATTGAAGACCAGAAATGGGTTTGGTTTGGTTGAAACTGGGAGGGAAGGTGAGCACGTGACGTCACGTGGGTTCTGTGAAGTGGAGTGGAGGGGAGCGAGCGAGACGACACGTGTGAAACGTATCTGAAGTTGGTTGTGGCTGGGAAGACTGATCAAATACTGGAGTTTGATTGGACGGAGGTGAATTTGAATTTCATTTGGGTTTCATTTCGCATTTGGGGAAGAGGAGTGGGCCCGGTGTAAGACTTAATTTGTGGTGGAGGTTTGCTGAGCTGTCGCTTTTACTCTGCCAACGTGGACTTCAACCTAACTCCTTCCTTAATTTGTGGTCAAGACTTAACATTTGATTTTGCAATTTTGGGAAATTAATCTTTTAAAAACAAATATTAATTTAATTTTAATAATTTTTTATGTTAATATATGTTACCATAAAAATGAATTAAGCAAATATAATTATATTTATTTATAATAATAAAATAATTTAGTATATTTGCATTATTATATTATTAATTTTAATGTAGTGTTAATAATTATAAATTTAATTTAATTTAATTTTCATTAATTAAAAAATATATTAGTAATTAATTAAGAATAATATGTCTTAAATTTTAAGATTGTAATTTGAATTTAATAAAATTATACTTCTAATTCTAAATAACTATTACAATAATTAAATTATCTTTGTATTTTCAAATTTTAATATAATTATTTTATATTACTAATTAGAGTATAAAAATATATTTATGTTAGTCAATGGTTTCATATAAGTCACTATAAACATGTGAATTACTTTTAAAGGAAATAATTTAAATATATTATTCATAAAATAATCAATTATAAAATTATTTTATATTAATTTTCATTTAATGTAAGAACAATAAGCAATTAAATAAATGAAGGAGAAGGTAAGCTAAATTCACCTTAATATTCAAAATATTTTAGTTAACTTTTGTAATTTTATCGAGGGTCTTGGAGACTGAATTAATTGGTCAAAGTCAACTTAGAGGGTAAATTGGTCATTTTATCATCCATGCAAGAAAGGGAAAGAAAGAAAAGAAACGGGGAGAAAAATGAGATAAAGGGTTTAGAATTCTAATCTGCTTGAGTTTGATCTTGGCTAATGTTCATCTTTTTGTGCTCCCCCTCTCGATTTTGATCTTGTTTGTAAATGCTCGATTTGAGTACTTTCAAATGGTCCAACAATGGCCACCCGACCACATGCACCTGTACCCACTGTCTTAATTCACCTCCAAGTAAGTTCACTATTCATGGTCTATGGCCAAGTAACTACTCCAACGTCATTTAAGCCGCAATAGGAAAGAAATCAGGGCTTCACTGCAACATCAATCAAACAACTAAAAACAATCATTTGCACGAAATCATATTATGCTTTGATAAAGATGGAGCGACTCTCATTGATTGTCCATTCGGCCGCAAAGTGCCCAACTCAGTTTAAGTGGCTCTTACCTCATCACTTTTTTCATAACATAGAAGCACATCTTAAGGGACAGGAAAAAAACAATTGTTAAGGTAAGAGCCACCTACACTAAGTTGGGCACTTACGAGCAAACAGACAGTCAATAAGAGTCACTCCATTTTTATCAAAACACAATATAATTTTGTACCATCGATGGTTTTTAGTTATATGATTGATGCTGCAGTGGAGGACTGACTTCTTTCCTATTGCGACCTAAATATCACCTTCGATGACATAGATTGGTGGGATGTGCTACCAGTCGAGCTGAGGTTGACAACGTTCAAAATGGACAACAAATGGAGAGAGTTATATACTTTTAAATAGATAGACAAAATCTCAATTTTCTACATGACACAATATGGTACCTTATTCTTCGAAGAAAATTTTGTTCCTCAGCAAACAAGCTTGGCGTTGGAGTAGTTGCTCGGCTAAGGACCATGAACGGCAAACTCGTTTGGAGGTGAATTATAACATAGAGTATTGGTGCACATTGTCGGTAGTCATTGTTGAACTATTTGAAAATACTAAAACTTAGCAGAGAAAACGAACTCAAACAAGAGAGAAAGAATGAGAAAGGAGTATATGGAAGATAGAGATTGAGAAGATAAAATGGCAATATATATATATATAGGAAAATGAAAGAAATTCACTCCCCACGAAAAAAATGGGAAAAATAAATAAATAAATAAAATATTAATAATTTTAAAAAAATGAGCGAATTTGAGATTTATATTTTTAGAAAAATAAAACAAATTTCATCCTCAAATTAAAATTCAAGTAAAGGTCACTTTCAAATTAAATTAATTATTTTTTAATTAAATTGAAAAAAAATGCAATAATTAGATAATAATATGAATAATTTTATAATTAAATTGAAAAAAATGCAATAATTAGATGATAATATGAATTTTAAGTAGTGAGCATCTTACCTTTTATATACATCATCAAACAAATTGGTTCAATTTATTGCTTTAATTAATTAAAATCCCAAAATAAACAAATACTTTTATCAATAAAAAAAAAACATTTATAAGTGAGTCATCATATTTTATATATTATGAATTATTTTTATTTTATTAAAAATGAGTACTTTAAATAATTAATTCATTGATAAACAATAAAATAAATTTATTGCATATTTAAAATAAAAAATAAAATTAAATATCTTCAACATCTACGTTTTTTAATGCAAATATTAAGATAATTTTTTTAAGTTACCCCACGCGCAGGTTCGAATCCAGTCGTGTACATGAAATCCTAAATTTAACTCTATTATTTATTATGAGAAGAAATTTAAAAAAAATGAATTTTGGTAATTTCCTTGGTAAATAAGGATGAAAAAAAAAACCAAAATCAGGTAAGTTTGTTTTTTTTTTTTTTTATATTTAATTGTTATTTTGTTTGCAGTAAAAACAAAAAAAAAAATTTACAGCCCATTCTCTGTTGGATTCACCTCATCCTTATATAACAATGAAGAGGTCGTCAAATAAAACTCGAAGCCTGAATTGAAAATTTTTTAAAGCCTTCTAATGGCGACTTTGAAAGATCTCCCTAAAGTATTGTTGATCGAAATTCTATCAAGGCTTCCGACAGAGTCTCTACTCAGATTTAAGTCGGTTTGCAAATTTTGGTACGCTTTGATCAACGATCCTATAAATTTTTCTTTTCAAGATAAATGTATTTTTATCAAGCGTCGAGTGATGGTCAATTTTCAACACTTTACGTATATACCCTCCATCATCAAATTTTCCCTCGCCCCTGATCGATCTATGTCCATTCTCGATGTCAACAATCCATTCAGTTATACTGCGTTTTTCGTTATTTGCGGCCATTCTCATGGCTTGGTTTGTCTTTCCTTCAATAGGGATATTTTCCTATTTAATATGACGACCGAAAAGTTTCATAAGCTCCCGTTATCGATTCTTCATTATCCTGGGGATATTTATGACATTGATTTTTCGTCCACAAATGCAGTTGGATTTGGATACAATTCTAAATCTAGGGATTTCAAAGTGGTTAGGGTTGTAGAATTTGGGAGCCAATATGGAGAAACTAATCTCCCGGCTAGAGTCGAAATTTACGATTTGAGGAAAGAAAAATGGAGGGAAATTGAATCCACTGTTTGTGGGCGTGTAACGAGGGCACCTACTCCCCAGATGCATCATAAAGGAACATATTATTGGTGGGCATACAAAGAAGGAAGAACTAATATTATACACACGTTCGACATGAGTGAAGAAGTTTTTGGCGAAATTTCAGTACCGAACGATGTAGTGAATGAGCGTATGGAGTATATAAGTATGGGGACGTTGAATGAATCAATTGTTATATTTCACTACTCAAAAACAAGGCATGAAAAAACGTTCGACGTTTGGGAGATGGAGAAAGATGTCGTTTCATGGTCAAAACTAATGACAATTGGTCCTGTTTTTGGAATCGAGAAACCATTGTTGTTTGTGAATTCAGATGAACTTTTAATGGAAGCCAACGAAGGACGGGTGATTTCTTACAATATTAAAACTCACGTGACCAAAGTTCTTCCAATAAAAGGGCTTCCATGTGTGTTCGTTGATACTTATTTGGACTATAGTTTGGTTCAGTACTAAACGATGTAGCGAAGGAGCATATAAGTAAAGACTCGAGCATATAAGTAATTACAATAGGGTCGTGTCTTAAAAGCGGCAAGGTCACTCCTTGTATATATATATGATATGATTCAACTAGGATCTTGCCCCCACACGATACATGTACACATGTAACTACCCGAAATTTTCTACTTAATTTAAGGTCGTTACTGTATATAAATATCATAAAAATGAATGCGAAAATACTTCGTTTAAACTTTCATAAAACATTACCTTTACCTTAAAACATAGCCATGGACTTACCCGTTTTGAAAACACCTTTAGAATCACACAACAAAAGACTAAACAAAATAAATAAACTTTTAAATTTTTTTTTTTTTAAAAAAAAACATCTTATTCTAACCTAAGATTAAGAAAATGAAAATAAATGTAACTACCCTATGCATGTACCATGGTCTCGAGTTGCGATGTCGTTGTCAACCGTACATGAATGTCTTGCCTTAATCTGAAACAAGAAATAGTCAACAAGTGACCCCAACAGTACCTTCACGTAAGAAAAATATAAATTAATTAAATATTCATAATAAAATAAAATATACTATAAATCAAATCATAAAGAAAAAAAAAAATTAAGATATAATATCTAACATATATTCCATATACAGTAAAAATAAAATCCTAACCTAAAGCAGAATATCATGCCAAAAACAAAGAATGAATCTGGCCTAAGATTATATTAGATGATATTTATGATCTTATATCGACAATGATCTGATATTCAAAAAATCTTTTTCAACAGCGACGGCCGGAGGAAGGAATACTCGCACTTTCTATATGACACTGGCAAAATAACATTGGCACAGGAAGGAACTAGGTCGGGTCAATTGAAAGCAGTTGCAGTTTGGGAAGGCACTGATCTTGGACTGCAAATTGGGTCACGGGTCGGGTCACCCTCTACAGTCGCAATATGTGTTAGATTCCTATGTGTAGTGAGTGATGGTTTCTTGAACGTTTAAGTATAATATATGAAGTTTGAAAGTAAGTTCATTATTACTATTTTATTATTAAAATTCTTAATTATTCCTCAACCATTAAGGATGCATTAAAAAAACAAAAATTATCTAATTTTTGGTATGTTATTTGGTTTGCAAAAAAAAAAAAAAAAAAAAAAAAAAAAAAAGCCATAGTATTGTTGATCGAAATTCTATCAAGGCTTCCCGCAGAGTCTCTACTTCAATTTAAGTCTGTTTACAAATTATGGTACGCTCTGATTAATGATCCTGCAATTTTTTCTTTACAGGATAAATGT